AATTTTATACTTACTATTTTTATCGAATTATAAAGCAGCTGCTAAATGTGTCTACACTATAATTAATTGATTCCCTGTCTAAATTTTTCATAATTTCCTTGATCGAAAAAGCTACCTTATCTATTAAATACTTATAAAAAATTGTTTTAAAATACAAGTTCCTGACTTCATTTTAATCATTTCTCTAGCCATGTAGATAAACTTATTTTCTTTTCTTTGAAAGACATGACATGAATTTAAACCAAATATCAAGAATAAATGGAAAGCCTTGGCATTTTTTTGTAAGGTTCTTATGTCATTTTTGTTGATAAAATGACAATATGTATTTAATACATGGCAGAAAAATTTTAGGATACACAATAGTAAAACATTATTAAAGTTGAAGATACCATCGCCACTAATGTCTTATTTATTATGTGAGGAGTATTTCTGGGAGGTACTTCTGTGCTGCATTATTAGATAAAGGGTTCACAAAGGAAATTTTTGATTGATGTAAGTACCTGATGATTTTGGAGTTCTTACTGAAACATTCTGATAATAACAAAGATGAGGACAATAATTTGGAGTTGTATGAAATTTTTGGATTATTTCTATTCAGCCAGCTAATGAAAATGCCAAAAATTTGTTTGTATGATATTTTATGATTTACTCTTTTTATTTGATGTAGATTGGTCAAGGATGAGAAATATTTGTCTATATTTCTGAGATGAGGTATTATGTAAACTATTTATATTCAGACTATTGTATCATATTTTATCGCCATATTTATTATATTTTAGCCACAATCCACTTCAACCTTTTTCAGGTTGTTGGAATTTGAACTGAACCCTTATTTATTTAACTTTTTTAGACTGTTTGAATTTTATTGGACAAAGTTATATTTTAAGAACTAATAAAAAATTTCAAATATTCAGTCTAGTAGATGAAGATAATAAATCCAACGTCTACTCAAATATGATTATCAATAAAAACAATATTTAAGTAAAAAAAATCTGACAGATAAAATAAATAAAATCATTCGAATATTTGTAAATACATACATACGTACATACATACATTGGTTTAATAAAATAAAATTTGTCATTAGTTTGATTGATTTTTTAATCGTTCCTCGAATCCAGAGTTTTGTAGATTAATTTTTGTAATTGTTTAGATCACTTATCAGGAGGTTTCAATTAACTGGTTTTTAAACATCAATATATATATATATATAAATGGATATTGGAGTGAATGGATCATGTTTTTCATGCTCAAAAGAAAGCACTGTCATATTTTAAAAGGGAAGTTTTGATTATTTTAATTATCCATTTATTTTATATTTTTCTTTTGTTTATTATAATTTTTATTATATTATTATGCATTTATAATCTTTAATTATTAAAATAGATATTTGTTTTCTTTGTTCATTTAAAAAACTTTGATGATTTTCATTTTTTAAGAATGTCTATATATCAATAAGAATTATTATATTTTAAACGTTTTTTGTTAAATTACTTGTCCATCAACATGAATAATTATTTCTATTTATAAAACACTGATAACATTTCTCTTTTATGAAAGATGTAATTTTGACAAAGGTTTGCTTTATCTTTGACTATTGGTTCAGTATTATAGATTTATTTCCCTATCAAATTTATAATTCAAACATTTGTAATATACCTGATAATTTTTTTTTTATCCTTTTATTTATTGAATGGTCAAAGGAGGAAAATTTTTTGCGGATAACCATAGATTCAATTTGGAGATCGAATTCAAAGGAAACAGTTATTTCAGAGGAAGGACATATTATATTCTAAACCTCTAATTTGCGGGCTCAACAAAACTCAAAGATAAGACCAGTAAACTGTAAAGGGAGTGGAACCCCAATTCACCAATCTAAACAAAAGAGACCGTCCAACATTGTGGCAAGATCTTTCTGAGGGCTTTCTTTCCAAATGGTTGCGAATATTGCATGATAATTTTTGTTTTTATCTGCCAAAACGTTTTATTATGTGGACTCTATTTTTTGTGATTTCATGAAGTTATAATTTATCCATTGTAGTGTAACAAACACGAGAGGTCAAACAGCGTAAAAATAAAATAGGAAACAAAAAAAAAATGAAAATAAATGGAAGCAAAAACGAGATAATGGAGGCCAAAAAAACAAAAATAAAAACAAAAAAAAAACTGACAAAAAGAATCACAATGATAATACGGTTCATGAAATATGATTTAACCTGAAAGGTAAAAGACTTGACTGCATTAATATTTGGAACAAAATAAAAGGGAAATTATTAAACATCAAATAATTATGCATAATTAATGAAACTTTCGAAACAAACGAAGAGAGAAAAGAAGGGGAAGAAACAAGGATATGTTTGGGGAGGAAAAAAGAAGGAAAAATTTTTTTATGTCTGAGTTAACCTTACTTAACAAATGAAAACTTTAAAACAAGAAATATGCAATTATTTTTAAGAAAACAAATAAAAGTTATTCCCCAAAAATAGAAAGAAAAAAATACAGAAGGTAGTGAAAGAAAGCGAGAAGAAAGGATTAAACATCAACTGCGAGAAGACATAATGCATGGTTGTTAGCAAAAGGATGAGTCCAAAGTGGGAATTGAAAATCGGAGATACCAAAATAAAAAAAAAAAAAATGCGGAAATTTAAATATCTGAGAAATGTTTTAAGAGGACGGAAAGTGTGACACTGAAATCCGAAGGCGTATTGGGATAAGCAAAAATGCACCCTAAAAGCTAAGCAGAATACTAATAAACAGAAAATCTCGTTAGAAACAAAGAAAAGAGTACTAAACAGTTACTTGATATCTGTCCTACTATATGGCAATTAGTGTAGGACAATCTCGTCAAAGATGAAGAAGAGACTGAAGCAACAGAAATGTGGTTCTACAGAAGGATGCTGAGAATACCTTGGACCGAGTATGTGAGCAACGACGAAGTTTTAGAGAAAATGGTAAAAAAAAGGAAACTTAATACAACATCAGTAAGAGACAGTTGAGGTTTCTGGGGCATATAATGAGGAAGGAGAAAGAGGAATTGGAAAACCTAATACTCACATGACAGATTGAAGGAAAAAAACTTAGAGCATCTGATACTCACAAAAAAAAATTGAAGGCAAGAGAGACAAAGGAAAATAACGCTTGACATACTTAGTGAGCTTCAATAAATAGATGGCGAAACAGGCTTTAAAAGAAATAGCAGAAAGAAAAAAATTATCAAGAGTTACAAGGAGAGGAAGTTGTAGAGTGCCATGATCGTCTACGTCCAGAAGGGACACGGCACATAAAAAAAGAAGTAGTGTTAGTAGTTCGCTAAATGTTTTTACTGTTAATGATTTAAGAAGAAATTTTGTTACATACGACAATAGAGTTAATCACAAACATCAAAATCCTAAATTACTAAGAGAAAAAATACAGCCGATGCAATTGCAGAATTACTTAAATATCGCCGTCATTTTTTACTGTATTTGTAAAGTAGTCTATAAATAATAACTGTTTTTTAAATATAATTTATGCATGATATTTGTTTGAATGTTTTTATTTATTTATACATAAAAACAACTAAAAAGAAAGAAAAATTGCATTCATTTTTTATAAAATTCAAAACTGAAATTTTACTTCCGGTTTCTATTTTGACACTGGTATCCATTAGTATTGATTGAAATATTTTATCAATATAAATTGTTAGCCTATCTTAAGAAGGATTTCTGAATAATAAACAATATCTCTTCATCATTGTATATATATATATATATATATTCTAAAACATTTTGCATTCTTTCTTTTTTCAGATCGCCATTATTGCAGTAGTAGATGCTATTCCACTCAGGAGAGGTCTGTTTTTGTTTTAAAATTTTCTACTTTTTTCATATTAGCTGAATGGAAAGGTCAATATTCATTTTTTGTGCAAATAAAGGGAGGTGCTGAAAACTTATCTGTCTTGTTAAAAAAAAAAAAAAAGTATTCAAAAAACATTTCTGATTCAGATTTCGGAAAGTCAATCAGGACGAAAATTTCTTCTGCACTCCTCCTATACAAAGTTCAAATAAAATGAAGTAAGTATTTGACCATAATCAGGAAGATGGGTCAGCCCATGAGATTTTCTTCACACTCTCGTATCTAAAATCTTATGCGTCGATCCGAGAACTCATTCGTATAAAAAATGTTTTGAAGCAAATCATTTAAAAATAAAATTAAATTGATTTATTGTTTTCTATTAGGTTGGTTTTTGACGTTCAACTTCAAAATCTCATAACTCCTTTCATAATAAACTTTATTAATCGAAATAAGAACCATTAGAATCGAAACATTTTTTGCCAACGAGAAACAAGTTTATTTATCCCATTAGCATAGAATCCGGAGTTCTGGAAGCGATGAAGTCATTGTAGGCCGATTCGGCACCATCTCGGCTTTTGAAGCATTTTTATATATATATATATATGAATTGGGATCAAAAATGGATAAGAATCCGACAGAATTATAAGATAAGGAACAAACAGGAAGCGTTTATATATTCAACATGTTCAGCCTTTATTTAAGCCTCAGCAGAGAATGAAATATAGGGAAGAAAAGACAATTCTGATAGTTTTCCTTTTTGTGTTGATTGTTTTTCATTGTATTTATCTTGACAGGTAGCGTGTGTGTTTGTATATGATAATTCTAGTTGGTGTATGCGGGATTTGGTTGATAATGTGCGCGTGTATATATATATATATATATATATATATATATATATATATATATATATATGGGGTAACAGAGACAGAGAAAGAGAGAGAGACATAGGAATCAACATTGTATGGTGACTATCAGTTTCATGCTTTAGTGCGATCTTCAGATCATGTGCTTTTAGTGGGTTGTGTGGCGAGTTATGTTATGTATGTCAGTCGTGGTTTAAGACTAATGAGGGGAGAGGAAACCAACCCTTTTTAGTTTATTTTCTTTAAAGCCAATTCTGAGGTTTATTTACATCACGGCCTTGATTGCTTATATATGTTGATTGGATGGGTGGATGTTTGGAGGAAGTGTATATAAATAGGCATAGGCTTATTTATGATCACGACTTGAATTTATTTATCTATCTATCTATCTATCTATCTATCTATCTATCTATCTATCTATCTATCTATCGTTTAACTTTTAGGATCTTCATGCTGGTTTTGGTTATTTATCTCATTCCACTTTATATTTCAATTCCCACGTCATGTCACAAAAAAATTATATTTTTTTCGTTTTTAATTTAATTTAATATGTAATGGTAATGGTAATATTAGCCGTTTCCTTATAAGGAAACATTCGGCATTCATTGACCTAGCAGCCAGTGCTGCTGATGGTTGATATTTATAAAAATCTTTCTATTAAAAAAATTTTTCAGGAAAATAGGTTTCCTAAGTTCAGTAGCTGTTATCACTTTTTCCAGTTTTGACGGGTTTTTCTTCCTAACCTCAAGTGATGTAGTTTCTGTTATCTGATACAGATCTTTGTAATTCAGTAGCAATAGTTCTCAAGGTTTGAAGAAGTGTTGTCTTCACCAAGATCCACAGGTTTCACTCGCCCAAAACATTTTTAATCATTGATCTTAGAAAGCGATTGCATATAGCAGACAGTTTAGATATCGTTGAACGGGTTCGGCCCTATGCATGTCATCCATATGAAAGTCCCTATCTGACGAGGCTATTTAAAACATGGCTCGAGTTTTGAAGTTAATGTTTTGGTTTTGTAGCAATTTTCGCTCTTGGATAAAACTACATCTAGTGTAGCATATTCTATGTTCAGTTTCCTTATTTCCTGTACTAAATTACTTATAATTGATCCATACTCCGCGGTATTTTAAATGTTTGGCATTTACTAATTCCATATCCTGAATTTTTATGATGGATTCAAGTTATGTGCCATCACGACTTTCATTCCAATCCCATATCATTGTTTCTGTTTTGGGAAGGTTTATCTTGAGTCCTATTTCTAGGAATTATTTGGTAGAGGATGTTGATTTTCTGTTCAAGATCATTCTTATCGCAACGATGTCGGCGACATAGCCTCTCACCCGCCTCCATCCTCGGTACATTGGTTTTGGAAAGGAAAACAGAATCACTGTCTTCTAATAGTTGATTCGTTGAAATCCTTTAATTTTAATCCCCGATTCCCATTGTGTTACTAGGAATTTCCTTTCTCTTTACATATATATTTCTTTTTCGTATTTACATGCTGAAAACAGAATCTTACTTGCAGCGTCGTTCTCCGTGCCCGAGCGGTAAAGCACACCGAATCAAGCAGTGGTTTCCTCCGACAAAGGGACGCAGATTAGATCCCTCCCTGGGGAACGCATTTTTCTTTACAGAGATTTCTCGAATGTTTAATAAATAAAAATGTGCGTCTATTTCAATTACGGACTGTCCACTATAATAACGTCGTCCTGGGTTTGACGATAAACTAAATCCGGCAGCACGTCCTCTGATCAGGAGGTTTTTGAGGAGCGTAAAACCACCTATAATAGCTGTTTTCCCAGCCCCACCTTGATCCAGGGTGGTAACACTTGTTATGGTCCCATCTATGAGCAAATAGTGAACTCACAAACTGGGGTCAAAACATGAAATTATAAAAATACATTAGAAAAATTATCAGCAATACATTTTCATAGTAAAAATAAAAAAATTACAAGCAATACATTATGGGAAAAAATATGACCAAAGAATAAAATTTCGTCATTAAATGACACATAAGGCGTAGGCGTTTACATGCCGTTAAACAAACAACTCAAACTAAATTTTAATAACATTTGAAGCAATAAAAACATCGATAAAAAATAAATTAACTCTTTTATCATATATATATATAATATAGAACTCTCCAAAATAACGGGGAAGTATTTCGAGCCGTGGCACTAGATATCTCCAAAGCATTTGATAGGGTTTGGCACGCCGGCCTTCTCCGCAAGATCCAGGGTTATGGCATTACGGGTCAATTATATAACGTAATACAATCATTCCTGTCAAACCGTGAATTGAAGGTCGTTCACAACGGATTCTCCTCCAGTTCCTATCCCACGAACGCAGGTGTTCCTCAAGGCTCCATCCTAGGCCCCCTCTATTCATTCCTTATCTATATAAATGACCTTCCTGACGCCGTAACTTCTCAAGTCGGCATCTACGCGGATGACACCACAATTTATTCCTGCCTCAAAAACAAATCCAGTCTCGCTGACAAAACTCACCTTGCCGTGCGTCTCGAAAAGGACCTCCAATCGATTGTGAACTGGGGCATGATTTTGGCTGGTCAACTTCAACGCTTCGAAGACAAAACTGCTCTCTATTAATCACCACAGAGATCCTTCCCTTCCCCCTCCATTAGAATGTCTGACGCTCAACTTCTCGAGAGCAACTCTCTGCGGCTTCTCGGTCTCACGTTGACTGCTGACCTGAGATGGAATAAATACATCGAGTCAATTGCCTCGTCCACTGCGAGGAAAGTTGGCTCCCTGAGCCGCGCTAGGAAGTTTTTCTCCCTGAGTCGATCCTCCAGATATACAAATCCACAATTCGCCCTTGCATGGAGTATTGCTGCCATATATGGTCTGGCGCCCCTTCTGTTTGCCTCGGGGTTCTTGATAGGCTCCAGAGGCGGATATGTAATATGGTTGGCCCTGCCCTGGCGTCTCGTCTACAGTCACTTTCTCACAGACGCACCGTCGCCTCCCTCTGTCTGTTCTACAAATACTTTCATGGAAATTGCTCCGAGGAACTGCATTCGCTGGTTCCCCAAACTTCATGAGTTCAAGCGCCCTACGAGGCTGGCATCCCGCTCTCACCCCTTCACTGTCGAAACTCCTAAATGTAGCCGTCTCTTCTACTCTAATAGCTTCATGTCTCGCACCTCTCGCCTGTGGAACTCTCTTCCCTTCTCCTGTTTCCCTGAGAGTTATAATCTCCAGCTATTCAAGTGTAATGTCAATCGACATCTCCAGTTGCCTTAATCTATCTACTACCCTCATCCTTTCTTCTATCACTCCTATCTGATCTTCCTATTTTCTGTAACCCCTTGTGTCCTAGTGGCTCCCCGCCTTGCTTGGGGTGAAATGCAAAAAAAAAAAAAAAAAAAAAAAAAAAAAAAAAAAAGACATTTTATTAGTTTTAATACAGCCTTATATTTAGCGCCACAGGTACATCTGCATCAGATAAAATCTATCATTGGCCCATCCTTCAGATATATAATGTCATAAATTTATAAATGAAAATTACTTTAGAAAAGTCAATTTTCATGTATTATTGGCATAATTTATGACACAATTTTTAAAATATTTGTTTTACTGAGAAAAGTTTGCCTAGCAGATTATTGACAGATCCCAAATAACAGAGTATTCTACACCTTTTGTCCTTCTTGACTCCCTCAATATATATAGCCTGTTCAAAGATCTGAGCACTGGTCAAAGGGCTTGTTTCACTATAACTCACTTTAATTTATGTTCACCTTGAGGAGACAAGTTCTTAAATCCTTTTTATTTGCAGTACTTTTCAATTAATTACATTTCAAATGCCTCTTTTTTGTTTGATGATTTCTGCTAAAAAGTTCTTTTGATATTTCCAATGTGAACATTCCCTAATCAACAAATTTATTTTCTCTTTTTCAGCATTTGTTAGATTCTTTCCATTACACATGTTTCAATATATTTTATAAAAAAAATAAAAAGAATATTTTTTATTAGATTTCAGAGGCCTTAAAATAATATTAATCTGCATAATAACTTCAGATTGCAGTTTTTATTATAAATCCAATAACTTTAAAAAACATGTTGAAACTTTCAAAAATTTAACTCAAGCTATTTTTTTGATGTCTAAATTAATCATTTAAAATTTGACAAAGACTGTTTCAAAGTAAGTTTGAAATATTGATTTTTACCAAATGGTTTGCATAATTTCAAACAGACTGTAGTAATATACTAAACATTTGGGTTGGTAAGGAAAAAAAGTTCTTGACACATTGAACCTTAGAATTTTTTTACATAAGCTTTTTAGCTAATTTTGACACTCAATTTGTATGTTCTGTATTGAAACTCAATAAGAAAGGGATTGTCAGTGGAAAGAAATCAATACTAGTGTTATCTATAGAAATTAGGCTGTTAAATGCATCATGATTTTACTATAAGAATTTCACTGAATATCAACAAGAAAGGGATTCTCAGTGGTCATGAATGAAGACAAACATTAGTAAAAGAATAGAGGTATTGTATGTATAATATAAATGCATTTCAAATGATTTTACTATAGAAATGCATTGAAAATCAAGAAAAAAAGGTATTATCAGTGGTCAGGCATTAATGAAAATATTAAAGGAAAAATAGGGTTATTATTAATTATAATATAAATGTATTGATAATGATCTCATAAAATGACCTCATTGCTTGTTTTATTTATTATTTTAATTTAAAATATATTCTTTTGTGTAATGCAAAAACAATCAAATTATCTTGTGCAGTGAGATTGATCCTCAAAGGTGTCAAGACAATAATAGTGAACAAGTGAATCTAGTAAATGTTATCTGGTGCATGGAGTTTGCTCAGGATTGCATTGGGACAGACTAGCATTAGCCAATATGCTTTATAAATAGATGATAAAATCAAATTATCATTTTTATATATAATATATAAAAACAGCTAATATATATTTGAATGAAAATAATTCAAAATATGATGATAATTTTTAGGAAATATTGCAGTGAAAAAAAAAATAATTTTTAAATTTTATTTTCTTAGAGTTTTAATTTTAATGCAAAAAGTCATTGAAAATCAGTCCCAATTATGTTTAGTTCTTCAATTTCTATTTTCATTATACAAGTGATGTGAATTTTTTTGAAACTCTTTGAGTTTAAAAAAAATTTGTTATTTTTTCAATGGATTTTTTTCAAATATTTTCTTATTTCCTTTGCATAAAACATTTCTGCATTTTGAAATATTTTTTCACTTTCACCAAATTATTATATAAGTATAATCTGAAACATCCATTTATAGCAAATTTTTTATAAATATCATTTTAATTTTATTTTTGAAAGACTTTTAAAGACATCATATCATTTTAGCATTTCTTTGATTAGTTTTGTTCTTAAAGTTAAACTGAAGTTTATATAAACTTTTGTAATAA